CTACAGGTGCGTGCTACCACATCCGGCTAATTTTTTGATTTATTGTAGAGATGAGGTCTCATCAAGTTGCCCAGGTGGGTCTCGAACCCGCGGGCTCAGGCAATCCACTCACCTCAGCCTCCCAAGGCGCGGGATTACAGGCTGAGCCACCGAGCCCGGCTCTAAAAATTCTTTAGCCTCCTTTCTATAGAGGGGAAACAAAATCTTTTGAAACTAGGGATGCCTCCTTATGCAATGATTCCCACACCTAAAAACTAAAATCGGGGCCATGACTTTCACCGCTGTCATTCTCCTCTGCTTTGTATTTCTCCTTGATCACCATTTAGTTCTATCAATCCTTGCAATATGATCAAAGGCCAATTTAAGCAAGCCATTTTACCTTGTAGGGCAGTTCTACAGTCAAACTAAACTCCCTGAATAAATTTTAGCCTAAAAAAGTTAACATTTTACATAACCATGGAATATTTGTCAAAATGAGAAATCAATATTGGTACATTGTAGTGAATAAACCCTAGATTTAAACGCTAGGTAAATGCTTGGTTGAAGGTCTGGATCATTGGTAAGGAAGCTCTGATCCTGGTCCTAGAGCAATAATATTAACTTCCATACCACAACCCAGACAGTAGGTTTCCTGAGCTAGAGTGATCCTGTTTGGGGCTAGAGTCCTCTAAAGTTCAAACATGGTCCTCTACCTCCATCTCAATGCTTGGGTAAGAAGTAAGTACGCTGAGAAGAACAAAGGACACCCTTCTCCAATACCTTCCTTAGGCAGGGGACCTGCCCTTCAGAGAAATTATGGTCTGGATGGAACATGAAGTAAGAACCCAAATGACTGCAAGTTAGAAGTGATAATCTTCTTATCCTACTATGCAGGGTATGAAAAGACATATTTCGGGCCACGTGTGGTGGCTCAAGCCTGTAACCCCAGCACTTTGGGAGGTCAAGGCGAGAGGACTGCCTGAAACCAAGGGTTCGAGATCAGCCTGGGCACCTTGGTGAGACCTCATGTCTACAAAAAAAAAAAAAAAAAACCAGGGG